ACAGCACAGCACAGCGGAACAGCGGAGGTAACAACCCGGAGGTACACAGCACAGCCACAGCGGAAGCACAGCACACACACAGCCACACAGCACACACGACACAGCACACAGACAGACACAGCCAACAGCGAGACAGCCACAGCGGACGACAGCACACAATACAGCACAACCGGAGGCACAGGCGGAAAATACGGCACAGCGGCACGGCACAGCCACGGGCCACAACTGGCACAACGCACAGCCGAGGCACAGCGGCACAACACGCACAGCCACAGCCAGAGGAACGCCACAGCGGAGGTACACAGCATGGATGGAAGAAATATGGACGGCATGACCGGAACGGACCCACCGGACAAATATAACGGACACGGAAGGACAAACGATTGCATCAAAATGTGGACGACAACAACTGGACAGCACGGTCACACCCACAGCCGGCTGAGGAAGAAGGAAACGAATAAAGGAATAACGGAGACACGAAGGACCCGACCGACAGCCGACCAACCAACGGACGGAGGACACAGCAGGATCGGGACAAATGGATGAAGGAACACTGACGAGCCGGAGGAACAAGACACACGAGAGGAAGACCAACTGAGGAAGAAAGACAGAGACACAGCAGGAGAATGAACACAGGCCAGTGGATAACGGACAGACACGAGAGCCGACAGACACAGGAAGACACGGCACACCGGATCAGGACAAATGGACACACCCCACAATGAAGCATCTGGACTCCCAGAACCCACGACCACACATGGACTGGGAATCGGAAGAAGGAGGAGACCCGAAAGAAAGAGGACACAGCCAAGATGAAATGGAGTCTGAAAACAGGGCCTTTATAAGGAAAGCCAGGATAAAGACGGACAGATGGACAAACACATAAATGAAGCCTGAGACAGAGACACCATACACCCAACAAAATAGACACACGACCAAAGAGAAACACGAGTGTGGAGAGTGAGAGGGTGGAGGGAGGAACGAGAGAGACCCGCTTATCAGCTGAAGTAAGTGGCTATATTTACTCTAGTGAGTCTAAACCTTTGATGAGAAGTATATGTACGTTACCTGCTTATCAGCTGAAGTAAGTGGCTATATTTACTCTAGTGAGTCTAAACCTTTGATGAGAAGTATATGTACGTTACCCTGCTTATCAGCTGAAGTAAGTGGCTATATTTACTCTAGTGAGTCTAAACCTTTGATGAGAAGTATATGTACGTTACCTGCTTATCAGCTGAAGTAAGTGGCTATATTTACTCTAGTGAGTCTAAACCTTTGATGAGAAGTATATGTACGTTACCTGCTTATCAGCTGAAGTAAGTGGCTATATTTACTCTAAACCTGAGTCTAAACCTTTGATGAGAAGTATATGTACGTTACCTGCTTATCAGCTGAAGTAAGTGGCTATATTTACTCTAGTGAGTCTAAACCTTTGATGAGAAGTAGATGTACGTTACCTGCTTATCAGCTGAAGTAAGTGGCTATATTCACACTAGTGATTCTAAATCTGTGATGAGAAGTATATGTACGTTACCTGCTTATCAGCTGAAGTAAGTGGCTATATTTACTCTAGTGAGTCTAAACCTTTGATGAGAAGTATATGTACGTTACCTGCTTATCAGCTGAAGTAAGTGGCTATATTCACACTAGTGATTCTAAATCTTTGATGAGAAGTAGATGTACGTTCCTTGCTTATCAGCTTATGTTTGTTTGATGTTAACGCCGTATTCAGAAATATTCCAGTTACATGGCAGCGGTATGTAAACAATCATACCAGACCAGACAATCCTGTGATCAACAGCATGAGCATCAAACTCCGGCAGTTGTAAAGATGACAACACTGAAACTGCACAATTTAAAAAACATATTCGTCCAGGGTAATGTTCCAGCAATAGAGAAATACTACAATAATGATACTGGTACGTTTTTCCTGTAAAAAGCTGGACAAATGGGAGTGAGTGAGTGAGTTTTAAGCTTCATTCAGCAACATCCCAGCTATATGGCGGCAGTCTGTAAAAAATCGAGAAAAAAAGGACCAGACAATCCAGTGATCAACATCATGAGCATCGATCTACGCAATTTGGAACCGATGAAATGTGTCAAGCAAGTCAGACAGCCTGACTACCTGATCCCGTTAGTCGCCTCTTACGACAAGCATGTGTTACTGAAGATCAATTCTAAACCGGATCTTCACGGATGAATAGATTGGAAATTCAGAAACACCGTAGCACCTGCCTACAGAATATACACGTCACGTTTTTCAGTATCACTCAACTGGCGATATGTAGTTGACGACAGTGTTTGTGTCATCCACACAGACATCCCGCACTTGTCGTGTGTTTGATGGACCTGGTCCTGCTCCTCCTCTTCCTCCACCTCCGTGTCCTGCTGCTGGGAAACAATCTGCCAAAACAGGCATTGGAGAATCACTTCCTTCTTCTGGGTTCATGATAGGCTGGTGACTCCTGTTGCCGTCGTCCTCCAGTATTTCACAATACCCATGGTACTCAACAGCGGGGGGCATCTTTGTGTTCCCCCACACTGTCAGGTAGAGGGAAGGACGCTTGGGTGCCTCTGTGAAGGGAGATCATATTTATTAATCCTTGTAACAAAAGAAGCGGACTCATTTATATTATTTGAGTGTCAACCATTTTGCTTTATCCTGTCACCCATAATAACAAATGTCATACGTATGAAGCATATTTTTCACTTAACGTCATCTCATTTTAACGTCATCTCATTTAACACACTGAATCTGTCATTGTCCACAATACCGAGATATTTTCCAGTAACGTTCACAAGCTCAATTTCTTTTGTATTTTCATTCCTACTTTGTAATATTCACAGGGCGAGTTTAACAAATGATGGCACATGTGTCAAGGTAACACCCTTGTGTATAATGTAATCTGTTCCAAGTGTGGTACATGCTTATCTGACAAGTCACAACAATTGACACTTAAAATTAGTACCGTGTAGTAACGTGAAATAGCCATTTCATGTCAGCTCTAAACACAATTACATATAGCAACTGCAAAGTGGCAGCTGTGTATGTTCATGCACTTTGATAAACTACTAGGTTTGACCAAGAGGTGACAGTAAAGCAACAAAAAAGAACACCATCTCGGTAAACCAACAGGAGAATCGATCAAGACGATGTTTCTATATGTTTCAACAAGCCACAATACTGTTTTCCAGTTGATTTCTACGAACTACAAGTAATGTAAGGGTTGGTTGGTTTGTTGTTTTACGTCGCACATAGCAATTTACAAGCTATATGGCGACGGTCTGTAAATAATCGAGTTTTCACAAGGCAATCCAGTGATCAGCAGCATGAGAACTTATCTACGCAATTGGGAACCGATGACATGTGTCAAAAAAGTCAGCAAACCTGACCACTCGATCCCGTTAGTCGCCTTTACTATAAGTATTGGTTGCTGAAGACCAATTCCAACCCAAATCTTCACGAGTTTGGTAATGTAAGGGGAGCACGACATGCAAAAGGCAACAGAGCCAACTGTTTACTTCTGTTATGATGTTACCTGTCACATCTCACGAAATTGCGAAAACGGTAGCACACTGCCATCAACATCAGAAATAGAAGTGCTGATCCTGTTGAAAGCCCTATAGTAACAGCATGTGTAGCCCCATCTAAACATACATAGATATACATAATGAGCATTGCTGACAGACTTAACTTTTTTTGAACATAGAAAAGAATCACGTTACGCCACATGGTCAAGATTACTATTCACACTTTGCTAAGGATCAAGTCATGGATTCAACAGAAATCTATGATATGAGGTCCAATTTGGTTTAAATATCTAAGCTTATTGTAAATATGGATCATAGGTTTCAGTATGTCATTTCATCTTGTGGATCCCATACCTGCTATTGACAGGTGTTGTGTACTTGTCAGTGACTTGTTCCATGATATGCAAAATGGTCGATTGCTGCCATGAAAACCATTTTTATGGTTACTGATGTAACAAGTGCATAAGGTTAGATTAAAGTGACTGTGTGCCTCAAGAGGGGTTACCATACCATTATTTATCCAGTTATAAATGGATACATGCTCAAAATATAAATCTACGTGTAAGTAAAGTTGTGAATTTTTGTGTGAGAAGTATATAATGATGAGACTTTTTCTCATGACAATCAAAACTAAACATAAATCTATCATCAATCATAAACCTGTTAACAATTAATACTTATACCTAGAAATTCCATACTTACACTGATTGGAGCATTGTAAACCGACCCAGCCATCTTTACATCCATAGGTACACTCTCCACTCTTCTCTTGGCATTCGGAACTAGCAGCTGTTTTGTTCAAAGAAATGTGGTTGACTCGACAGTTTTCACTGCAATTCTTACTGCAGAAAGGACCATAAAACCCAGGTAGGCATCCATGGAAACAACGAAAGTTGCATGGTTTTATACATCGATTACATGAATACTCGCAGTTCCGGCCGAAATATGGCGGATGGCACTCCCAACATGCCCCTGATGTCCTGTTGCATGTTTTGCATCTGTCAGAACACGCCTTGCAGTCAGATCCGTAGTGCCCATCACTGCAGCCAGACACACAGGACACAGCGTCCAGATAACAGTACTCTCCATCACAACCACCTGGACATTCTGTACATCCACCGCCTGGACTGTTACATGGTATGAGACACCTTCCGCCCTGGTATCCAGACGCACATCCTTCGGAACACACGCCAATGCCAGTAGCTGAAGATTGGCATATGTTTCCCTTGCAAGTCTTACTGCACACAGATTTGCACATCAGGCCGACTGACTGACTGACTGAGTTTAGTTTTACGTCGCTTTTAGCAATATTCCAGCAATATCACGGCGGGGGACACCAGAAATGGGCTTAACACATTGTACCCATGTGGGGAATCGAACCCGGGCCTTCGGCGTGACGAGCCAACGCTTTGACCACTAGGCTACCCCACCGCCCCGCACATCAGGCCGAAATAGCCATGGTCACATTGTGTGTGAGACACTGTCCCGAGATGTTACTACAGTCTGAACAGTGCTGACCGTCTCTGCATGGTGCAACTGGAACAGATTTCTGAAAGTATGTCTCAAACTAGTTTGAGTAATGATAGGGACAGTGGGATAGCCTCGTGGTTAAAGCTTTCGCTCGTCAGCCTGAAGACCCTGGTTCGATTTCACACATGGGTACAATGTGTGAAGCCCATTTCTGGTGTCCCTCGCCGTTATATTACCGGAATATTGCTAAAAGCAGCGTAAAACAAAACTCTCTTACGCACATACTGATTACGTAATTGAAATGTTATTCAGTATATAGCAATGTTACAAACTGGATTTACCTTGTGAGATCCCAACAATGCAAGCAAGTGACAACAGCTCCAATATTTCCATGTTATTTTCTTCTGAAACAAGTGGAAACACAATTGTTTCTCAAAAATGTTAAGACAGCGTTGTATGCAAAATGAAATGTACCCAGAGCAGAACTTGGGGAGAGTTTTAAACATACACAATGAACACACGAAAATCACGACATGACCTTATGTTTGTGTTTAAGTTTCAGATTGGCGATGTTTGGGCTTGATTCCATGTTCCTTGTCAGCAGGAAACAAAGCACACTATGTTTCGACGCCATTCAACTTTTTCAGGAAACATTTACTATAAATAAAACATCTTGGTTTCCGTACGGACGAATGTTTGGTTTCACATGCGTCTGCGTCGGTTTCTCAGGCTTTGGGGTTAGAAACCCAGAAATCATTACTGAATGCAAATCAGACATAATGATTGAATATAGGTTGTGTATATGTTGACATCAGGTATTGAACATGTTTTAGGAAAAAATCCTAATCAATGTCATCGTTTGAAACCCAAAACCTTACTGTTCAGACATGCCTTCTCTGTGAAACTTTTCGCACCTTCTCTCAGACATGTGCGCCTAGAGAATGCTACAAATCTATTTACCCCTGTGTCCCTATGCCAAATACATCTATTTACACCTGTGTCTATATACCATATTCATCTATTTCCCCCTGTGTCTCTATACAAAATACATCTATTTCCCCCTGTGTCTCTATACAAAATACATCTTTTTCCCCCTGTGTCTCAATACCAAATTCATCTATTTACCCCTGTGTCCCTATACCAAATACATATATGTACCTCTGTGTCTCTATACCAAAGACATCTACTTACTCCTGTGTCTCTATACCATAGACATCTATTTACCCTGTGTCTCTATACCAAATACATTTATTTACCCCTGTGTCTCTATACAAAATACATCTATTCACCCCTGTGTCTCAATACCACATTCATCTATTTACCCCTGTGTCTCCATATACCATATTCATCTATCTATCCCTGTGTCTCTATACAAAATACATCTATTTACCCTGTGTCTCTATACAAAACACATCTATTTCCCCCTGTGTCTCAATACCAAATTCATCTTTTTACCCCTGTGTCTCTATACCAAATACATTTATTTACCCCTGTGTCTCTATACAAAATACATCTATTCACCCCTGTGTCTCAATACCACATTCATCTATTTACCCCTGTGTCTCCATATACCATATTCATCTATCTATCCCTGTGTCTCTATACAAAATACATCTATTTACCCTGTGTCTCTATACAAAACACATCTATTTCCCCCTGTGTCTCAATACCAAATTCATCTTTTTACCCCTGTGTCTCTATACCAAATACATTTATTTACCCCTGTGTCTCTATACAAAATACATCTATTCACCCCTGTGTCTCAATACCACATTCATCTATTTACCCCTGTGTCTCCATATACCATATTCATCTATCTATCCCTGTGTCTCTATACAAAATACATCTATTTACCCTGTGTCTCTATACAAAACACATCTATTTCCCCCTGTGTCTCAATACCAAATTCATCTTTTAACCCCTGTGTCCCTATACCAAATACATCTATGTACCTCTGTGTCTCTATACCAAAGACATCTACTTACCCCTGTGTCTCTATACCATAGACATCTATTTACCCTGTGTCTCTATACCAAATACATCTATTTACCCCTGTGTCTCAATACCACATTCATCTATTTACCCCTGTGTCTCTATACCATATTCATCTATCTACCCCTGCGTCTCTATACAAAATACATCTACTTACCTCTGTGTCTCCTCTATACAAAACACATCTATTTACCACTGTGTCTCAATACCAAATTCATCTATCTACCCCTGTGTCCCTATACCAAATACATCTATGTACCCCTGTGTCTCTATACCAAATGCAGCTATTTACCCCTATGTCTCTATACCAAATACATCTATTTACCCCTGTGTCCCTATACCAAATACATCCATTTACCCCTGTGTCTCTATACTAAATATATCTATTTACCTCTGTGTCCCTACAACAAATACATCTATTTACCACTGTGTCTTTAAACCAAATACATTTATTTACCCCTGTCTCTATACCAAATACATCCATTTACCCCTGTGTCTCTGTACCAAATACATCTATTTACCCCTTTGTCTCTGTACCAAATACATCCATTTACCAGTGTGTCTCTATACCAAATACATCTATTTACCCCTGTCTCTATACCAAATACATCCATTTACCCCTGTGTCTCTGTACCAAATACATCTATTTACCCCTTTGTCTCTGTACCAAATACATCCATTTACCAGTGTGTCTCTATACCAAATACATCTATTTACCCCTGTGTCTCTACACCAAAGACATCTATTTACCCCTATGTCCCTATACCAAATACATTTATTAACCACTGTGTCTCTATACAAAATACATTTATTTACCCATGTGTCTCTATACAAATACATCTATTTACCCCTGTGTCTCTACACCAAATACATCCATTTACCCTTTGTCTCTATACCAAATACATCTATTTACCCGTGTGTCCCTATATCAAATACATCTATTTACCCCCTCATGTGTCTCTACACCAAATACATCTATTTACCACTGTGTCCCTATAACAAATACATCTATTTACCACTGTGTCTTTAAATCAAATACATTTATTTACCCCTGTGTCTCTATACCAAATACATCCATTTACCCCTGTGTCTCTGTACCAAATACATCTATTTACCCCTTTGTCTCTGTACCAAATACATCTATTTACCACTGTGTCCCTATACCAAATACATCTATTGACCCCTGTGTCTCTATACCAAATACATATATTTACCTCTGTGTCTCTGTACCAAATACATCTATTTACCACTGTGTCCCTATACCAAATACATCTATTTACAAACTGTGTCCCTATACCAAATACATCTATTTACCCCTGTGTCTCTATACCATATTCATCTATCTACCCCTGCGTCTCTACACAAAATACATCTACTTACCCCTGTGTCTCCTCTATACAAAACACATCTATTTACCACTGTGTCTCAATACCAAATACATCTACTTACCACTGTGTCCCTATACCAAATACATCTATGTACCCCTGTGTCTCTATACCAAGTACACGCTATTTACCCCTATGTCTCTATACAAAATACATCTATTCACACCTGTGTCTCAATACCAAATTCATCTATCTACCCCTGTGTCCCTATACCAAATACATCTATGTACCCCTGTGTCTCTATGCCAAATGCAGCTATTTACCCCTATGTCTCTATACAAAATACATCTATTTACCCCTGTGTCCCTATACCAAATACATCCATTTACCCCTGTGTCTCTATACTAAATATATCTATTTACCTCTGTGTCCCTATAACATATACATCTATTTACCACTGTGTCTTTAAACCAAATACATTTATTTACCCCTGTCTCTATACCAAATACATCCATTTACCCCTGTGTCTCTGTACCAAATACATCTATTTACCCCCTTGTCTCTGTACCAAATACATCCATTTACCACTGTGTCTCTATACCAAATACATCTATTTACCCCTGTGTCTCTACACCAAAGACATCTATTTACCCCTATGTCCCTATACCAAATACATTTATTTACCACTGTGTCTCTATACAAAATACATTTATTTACCCATGTGTCTCTATACAAATACATCTATTTACCCCTGTGTCTCTACACCAAATACATCCATTTACCCTTTGTCTCTATACCAAATACATCTATTTACCCGTGTGTCCCTATACCAAATACATCTATTTACCCCCGCGTCTCTACACCAAATACATCTATTTACCACTGTGTCCCTATAACAAATACATCTATTTACCACTGTGTCTTTAAACCAAATACATTTATTTACCCCTGTCTCTATACCAAATACATCCATTTACCCCTGTGTCTCTGTACCAAATACATCTATTTACCCCTTTGTCTCTGTACCAAATACATCTATTTACCACTGTGTCCCTATACCAAATACATCTACTGACCCCAGTGTCTCTATACCAAATACATATATTTACCTCTCTGTCTCTGTACCAAATACATCTATTTACCACTGTGTCCCTATACCAAATACATCTATTTACAAACTGTGTCCCTATACCAAATACATCTATTTACCCCTGTGTCTCTATATCATATTCATCTATCTACCCCTGCGTCTCTATACAAAATACATCTACTTACCCCTGTGTCTCCTCTATACAAAACACATCTATTTACCACTGTGTCTCTATACCAAATACATCTATTTACCACTGTGTCTCTATACCAAATACATCTATTTACCCCTGTGTCTCTATACCAAATACATCTATTTACCCCTGTGTCTCTATACCAAATACATCTATTTACCCCTGTGTCTCTATACCAAGTACATCTATTTACCCCTATGTCTCTATACCAAAATACATCTATTTACCCCTTTGTCTCTATACCAAATACATCTATTTACCCCTGTGTCCCTATACCAAATACATCTATTTACCCCTGTGTCTCTATACTAAATACATCTATTTACCTATGTGTCCCTATAACAAATACATCTATTTACCACTGTGTCTTTAAACCAAATTAATTTATTTACCCCTGTCTCTATACCAAATGCATCCATTTACCCCTGTGTCTCTACACCAAATACATCTATTTACCCCTTTGTCTCTGTACCAAATACATCTATTTACCACTGTGTCTCTATACCAAATACATCCATTTACCCCTGTGTCTCTACACCAAATACATCTATTTACCCCTGTGTCCCTATACCAAATACATCTATTTACCCCTGTGTCCCTATACCAAATTCATCCATTTACCTCTGTGTCTCTATACCAAATACATCTATTTACCCCTTTGTCTCTACACCAAATACATCTATTTACCCCTTTGTCTCTATACCAAATACATCCATTTACCCCTTTGTCTCTATACCAAATGCATCTATTTGCCCGTGTGTCTCTATACCAAATACATCTATTTACCCCTGTGTCTCTATACCAAATACATCTATTTACCCCTGTGTCTCTATACCAAATACATCTATTTACCCCTGTGTCTCTATACCAAATACATCTATTTACCCCTGTGTCTCTATACCAAATTCATCTATTTACACCTGTGTCTCTTTACCAAATTCATCTATTTACCCCTGTGTCTCTATACCAAATACATCTATTTACCACTGTGTCTCTATACCAAATCCATCTATTTACCCCTGTGTCTCTATACCAAATTGATCTATTTACCTCTGTGTCTCTATACCAAATACATCTATTTACCCCTTTGTCTCTGTACCAAATACATCTATTTACCCCTGTGTCTCTATACCAAATGCATCTGTTTACCCCTGTGTCTATATACCAAAACCATCTATTTACCACTGTGTCTTTATACCAAAGCCAACTATTTACCACTGTGTCTTTATACCAAAGCCAACTATTTACATCTGTGTCTCTATACCAAAGCCATCTATGTACTTCTTGGTCTGTGTACCAAGGACATCTATTTACTCCTGTATGAAGCCCATTTCTGGTGTCCCCCGCCGTGGTATTGCTGGAATATTGCTAAAAGCGGCGTAAACCCCAACTCACTCACACATGAGCATGAATGCTCCATTGCAAAAAAGAATGCCCGCCTTTCCATGTGGGTTACATGGAAAGGCGGGCACAGGGAAGCAAATATATACCTATTCAGATAGCGTCACAGCTACCCAGTAATATATACTACGGATACATGAACATTCATGTAATCGTGTGTAGATTAAAGGAGGGTTCTATCGTATTACATGTGTCACCGGTATGTTGGCTATGTAGGAGTCCTGAAATACACAGTTGTGTACGTTACACGGTGAATTATAATTAATTTACAACTGAAAAATATGATGATCATAAAACATCCTCTTTCATATCTACAGCTACAAATACTACAATAACTACAACTACAACCACCACTACCACTACATGCATGTATGTATATGTATTATTTTTAATATGAAGGAATTTTATCATCCAAAACTGTGTTCCACAGGAGATATTGCTTGTATGAGATCATACGATATGTCCTAGGAGATATCATTTTGACAGTAGATTTTGTACAATGCCCGGACAATGCTATGACGTCAGGAACTTGATGACGTCACAATGCTATGACATCGCTGCACTGCAAGTGTAATGGCAGTACCGTGTTCACAGACGTACATTTTTCACTGAAAACTAAACAAGAGTGATTGTCGATGATAAATAGAATCTCACCCTCGTGTCTTCTGATATCAAATATATCAACACTCGTTAATAAAAATAAAAATATCCTCGGCAAGCCAGATATTTGTAACTTTATCAACTCGTGGTGATATATTTGATATCAGTAGACATTCGGGTGAGATTATCTATATATCTGTCCGTGTGTGTGTGTGTGTCAGTGTGTGCTAAAGTAAGATATTTTTTTAAAGGTCTCATGCAACGTAAAACACAACTTTGCAGATTCTGATACCTTTCGGTATGGACTTACCGAAACAAATCATCAAAAATGCAAATTCAACTTATAAAGTTGAAAAATAACGCGATGAAACAAACCGAAATCGTAGTTCAAACGATTCACTAACTTTCCCCCAGCGCTTGGGGGGAATTGAAGTGGTTTCAACAGCTGGGCTGCGCTCATAGCACATGCGCAGTGAAATAGGTTCGCGGAACTTGGAAGCGGGTTGTCCGGTGAATATTCGGTGAAGGCTTTGGTGTGAGCTATTTTTCTACTGTTTTGTTGATATTTCACAGGCGCGAGCTTTTTATTTGTTATTACAGTAGATTACCGATTTAACTGTTTATATAATTTCATTTGTCTATTTCACCACACGTTCTTCTTACCGAGTCACTTTCTCAGTTGATACTTAAAAGCAATGTCATTATTTAGCGTCGACAGAATTTCTAACTGTGATATAGATATGTCGTTGTCACAGACAAAACTCAATGTCTGTTTTATTGACACCTATGTGTCTGCCTGCCCGTCTGCTAATGACAATATTCAATACACAATTTCAATCACTGACCACATGCAATTTGAACTTAACACCTATCAGTCTATACACCATAAACAAAACGCATTGATTTATGGCCCGAGTTCGGTCTCTGTCACATTATGTAATTACACAGACAGGCAGGCGTGATACTTGTACACATGACATGTTATGATGTCTGTTGATTGCAAAATGTTATACACAAAAAATGAGCATGTATTTACAAAACCCAACATCTCTATATATACACACACAATGAGCCGTGAGGGCATCTGCAAATGAACCAGCCGTTACACTTGAGTGCACACCCACCCGCTCTGACTGGGTTCGGTATCCCGGCTGCTTCGTTTCTTGGGAAGTAAACCCAAGAACAAAATATTGCACTTTTGATTTGCGATTGTACGCTTATAATTTTGTTTATATGTTGTTTCATAACCAGCAATGTATATCATATGTCATGAATAAGTGAAAATTGTGTTTTAATTATGTTTGATTTTTTGGTTGCATGTGACCTTTAAACATATATTCATGGTTGAAGTGAGAGATACATGTCAGGTATGTATGATGTTAAGCGATGTTTTAGTCGTTATATCACTGACTATGAGCAAACTCGCACACTAGTTTCTACAGCACGTTAACTCATTTTTAAACAGACCTCCTTCGTCCTAAAACAAACAATAATGACGAACTACAATAGTTATCACGGAATCACCATAACAGTGTCTACAGATCTGAACTGAATCACATACCTTCTCAGAACCCTGGTTTAGAGGTTGATGGTGACATCAGGCTGTAAACGTTTATCTCAATCTAGCTCTGTTGAACAATCTATCTGTTGACACCCAGGACTTCCTTCTATGGACGAAACTAGACACGGCCTGCCCCAACAACATGCACAATAAAGTCGACATCTCCTATGATTTTGTACTGTTTGAACATGAAACATATCAGAAGAACTGGCCTAACACTTAGTCTGAATATATATAATTTGGGTCGAAACAAATAATTCCATTTATGTTGAAACAAATCCCATTGAATTGGGAAGATTCAGGGACTGATCTCATTAGGACTACTCCTGCTGTGGTCATATTAAATTAGGATTTACGTACAACATCCATCAGATAGATGATTAAGTTACAGGTTTATTTATTCGGCCCTTTTTCCTAGCCCAGTCCTCTCTAGATGGAATCTAACTAGTGTGCTGCTTACATGTGGTCAGTGCAGCACTATTATATTATATTAATGTCCTGCATACATATCTCAAAACGTATTTGTGACAATGTTATTCGTATTTAGATGTTGTAATTTTCGGAAGCAAGAACATTATCTATGATTGTATTTATTTCTCTCATAATTACGTACCTATTTGGATAATATATGGAAAGGGTATACACACACCTCCTCACGGAGGAAACTTGTGTGAAGTGACACAAATATCAACTGTCTCATGAATAACATAATGACTGTAGCCGTGAAGTTCCGGGTTAGAATTGGTCTTCAGTAACCGATGGGAACAGGATCGGGGTAGAGGCCACTAACGGGATCAGGTGGTCAGGCTCGCGGATTTGGTTGAGTCATCGTGTCCCAATTGCGTGGAATGATGTGCATGCTGCTGATCACTGGAGTGTATGGGCGACACTCGATTATTGTTTAAAGACCGCCGCCATATAACTGGAATAGTGTTGAGAGCGGCGTGAACCTAAACTCACTCACTCACTTAATGTTATGAATATTTCTATCCGAACATTTAGTGTGATTGCATTGGTATAGTAAAAGAGCCGCTATACCTGCAGTGTCCTTGATACAGATACATACGAAATGTATTCTGAACCTGAGGATAATGTAGACTTGCTTCACTTACACTTTCGCCCTGAAGACAGGGCTGGGTGGAAGGGAATACAATGCATGTCGTGTTTTAGGGACTGTGAGACAGATTACATCAACCCATAGATGTCGTAGGACTTAAGGGGTCGGGTGGTCTGCTTCCCTGTTTTGGCTGATAGATTTCTTCGGATCTCAACACCGACAATCGATGCTCATTACGTCAATCACTGGATTCCATCCTCAAGTCCCGATTGTTACAGTTCGCCGCCATACTGTTGCATACTTGCTGAGCTAAACAGGAAACTACTGCACAATGTACTGTTTACAGGCAGGACTACAGGAAATACACACACAACATCAAATTGATTGAGTATTTTTTGAATGGGTAATGCAAAAACTGGAAGGCACTCAAAATCTGCAGAAGTGTGACAAATGTAAAAGATTTTCTTTCTTTTCTTTTCATTCATTACTTTCGGTTGTGTCGAACTTCGGATAACTCACCCTGGGGAAGTGAGTTTGCTAAATATAGGCTCAGTTTACCGGGCAGTGAATTGGTACCAGATGGGATAAGGCACATGGCTGTTAACCTTCATTAACACAGATAGTGAGCTATGTTAACCTACCGTCTTTCGCAGCCATATAGCTGGGATATTGCTGAATGCGGCGTAAAACTAAACTCCACCACTCACTCACTCACTCTAGTGTCATACAGGCAGCTTGTATTAACCGGGATTGTAATGTCGTAGAACTTCGATCACGCCTGAATGTGTGGATACAAGCGCTTTAATATACGTAGTTGTTACTGAAAGATTTAACTTTTCCGGATTTCGATCCACATTTTCTATGCCCAAGTGCGGCAAGGGAGGTAACTCCAAAAGTGGGAACTGCGGTTTGCCATGTGCTTCGCTGCGGTGAAGTTGACAACAAGATGTGTAGACAGTTTGATGGGTTTACAAATTTTGTAAGTATATTTTTGTAGTTACAAATCATGTAGTGTGCAACATATATATATACTGAGTCAAAAAAGAAACTTCACAAAATGTAATTTGAAAAATAATGAATAATTTTTCTCTGATGATACATCTATGTATCCGAAATGGGATCCCTATCTTTCGACTCTAGAAAAACGTTAGCAAAACCCACTCAAACCCATCTATTCGTCGTGCAAATGACGTTAGTGCCAAATCAGGTTTTGCACGTGATCTTCGCATCGAAGTTTTCTTCATATGCACGTGTTTGCATTGGCCTCAAGAATTGAAAAAAACACTTTTAAACCACAGTTCTAACGGTACTTGAAATGCGACGATTGTCAAATGTGCAACGTGAACGTGCCGTTGGCATGTTGCAAGCGGGAAGATCAGTTATTGACGTCGCAAGAGCAATGGGATGCAGCCGTCGTACTGTGTATGACTTGCGAGGTCGTCTACAACAAACTGGCACCACTTCTGATCGCCCAAGGTCGGGTCGTCCACGTGTGACGTCACGAGCAGAAGACCGTCAAATCGTCCTACGTCACCTACGTGACAGATTTCTGCCGGCTACACGAACCAGGGCTGAATGTTTAGAGGTCAAGACCATTCGAAATCGGTTGCGGGCTGCCAATCTCCATTCTCGACGTCCATATCGTGGGCCAATATTGACGCCGTTTCATCAACGTCAACGTCTGCTGTGGGCCCAACGTCACCTCCGATGGACCCAGAGAGACTGGAATCGAGTCGTCCTTAGCGATGAATCCAGGTTTACCCTCAGATTCGCGGACGGCAGGCATAGAGTCTGGAGACGACGTCGTGAACGGTATGCCCAATGTTGTGTACAGGAAGTCGACAGATTCGGGGGCGGAAGTTGCATGGTGTGGGGTGCTTTCTGTGGGAACAACCGTTCCCGACTTCTGGTCATCCGTGGAAACCTCACAGCTGCTGCTTACCGCGACCAGGTGCTCACCCCTGAACTCGTTCCTTTCATGGCGGCTCATGGCCAAGGTCTACAGTTCCAGCATGATAATGCTCGGCCGCATACCGCGATGTTGACACGAAATTTCCTTCAAAACGCTGGAATCAACGTCATGGACTGGCCATCGAGGTCCCCTGACCTAATCCAATAGAGCACGTTTGGGATGCACTTGGGAGAAGGCTTCGTGGTCTTAGGAACCAACCTCAGAATTTGCAGGAACTTGGTGCTACCTTGCAAGAGCAATGGCGCAGAATCCCAAACCACGTGTTCACAAGCATCAGGCAGTCGATGAGGAGACGGTGATTGGCAGTGGTGAATGCGCGGGGCGGCCATGCACGATATTGAACTGAGAAATTTCGCATTTTTATTCTTGTGACTTGACATTCTGTATACCCATGTTTTGGAACGGCGGTGTAGCCTAATGGAACTGATTATGGCACTGTCAGTGTATCGAGTACATCACACAGATCTCAGAAATGAAATAATAACAATTTAACCATCTTACCATCTTGTTCTTTTATAGTGCCCTGAAGAGAGAATGTGAAGTTTCATTTTCGACTCAGTATATTACCAAAAACCAAAAAACTCAAGATTGTGTGAAATGTGTTCCTGTAATTATGTAGAAAATGAGTACCACTTTTTACTGATTTGTACTGCCTATGATGATCTACGTAAACGTTTTATCCCTGTCGATGTTTTCACCCATCCAACCTGATAAATTAAGCCATAAATGTGCAGTTATTTCCAGGTTAGGAACACGTGGGTTGGCCTAAAATGGTGTCATGTTTTATGTTGTTTATTTTGTTTGACTGTTATAAGTGAAGAGTATCCCCATGTTTTGGGTCTTTGACGTGTAGGAATTTCTGCTGTTCTTGCAATCACAATTTTCCATGTTTAACATATTGCATTACACAAGTATTTGTAATGTTTGTTTCTGGCAACTACAGCCAAAGTAAGTGTATTTCATCCACAAAAACATAATCCGAGGATACTTTATTTACCGAAAAACATTTATTATGTAACTTGTGAGAATATTTCTGGGTAGTATTTAGTACTGTGAATTAGAAAATGTTTCAATGATGTTTTAGCTGGAACCGACAAGCGACAACCGACAATATGGAGGAATGCAAGCAATAACACTGCGGTGTATAATATGGAGGAATGCAAGCAATAACACTGCGGTGTATAATATGGAGGAATGCAAGCAATAACACTGCGGTGTATAATATGGAGGAATGCAAGCAATAACACTGCGGTGTATAATATGGAGGAATGCAAGCAATAACACTGCGGTGTATAATATGGAGGAATGCAAGCAATACCACTGCGGTGTATAATATGGAGGAATGCAAGCAATAACACTGCGGTGTATAATATGGAGGAACGCAAGCAATAACACTGCGGTGTATAATATGGAGGAACGCAAGCAATAACACTGCGGTGTATAATATGGAGGAATGCAAGCAATACCACTGCGGTGTATAATCATAGAAGGAAGTAAAGAAACGGCGAGTACAAGAATGAAAACCTTGTTGTTATGTCTACAACAGTAGTAATTATCGTTTGTATTTCCATTATCAAATACGTGTAAAAGTTGATCTGCAGATCCCTCGAGTCCTCCTCCTCTCATCAGGTCATCTCCATCCTCTCAATACACTCTCTCTCCTTATCTCTCTCTCTCTCTCTCTCTCTCTCTCTCTCTCTTCTCTCTCTCTCTCTCTCTCTCTCTCTCTCTATCTATCTATCTATCTAAGGTGTCAAACTCTTGATTCTTGGGTCCGGTGACATGCTGATATCGCGAACAGTCTAGATTGAAGGACATAAAATAATAAACCAAACTTTCAGTTCTCATGTTTCCGTCTTAATGTGTATGCTTTCATTCAGTCGGGAAATATTTCATGCATTGTTGTGTGACAAAGGAAGACATGATTTAACCTCATATATCTACTTTCAGTGTCCGTGTAGGTGATCATGCTCGGTCACTCACTCACTCACGCACTCGCATGCACTCACTCACGCACGCACGCACGCACGCTCAATTGCTAGTCGGTTGTTGAAGACCACACTCAGCAATATTCCAGCTATATGAATGTAAAATTTGAGTCTGGGTCAGTCAATCTAGTGATCAACATCATGAGCATCGATCTATGCATTTGGGATACGATGACATGTTTCAGCCAGGTCAGTGAGCGTGACCATCCGATCCCGTTAGTCACCTCTAACAACAAGCATAGGTTGCTGAAGAAAGGTTCTAACTCGGATCTCCATGGGTGTTTTTACTGGAAATATACGGAGCCACAAAAGAAATGTCGCACGGAGAGCGGTTTCTTTAAGCACACACCTTAATTCACTCTAATTAAGAATCAAAACGGAGGATTAAGTTATAACCTGACAATTATGGTTAAGACTTGTTCGAGTTCATACAAACAAAATCATCAAAACTGTTACCATTAATACACCCCAAAGTCAGTATTGTTTGTGGTCTTCATGGGCATTGATGAAAGCGTCGCGTCTTCTGTCCATGGAATAAATTAGCAGGTTGATGAAGGCCATAGGCTCTTGGGTCTATACTCTGTGAAATGCCTGATCGAGTCGAGTCTCAGTTGTCGGCTTTGGTTGGAGGTCATTCAGTCTTCTTTGAATCTCGTCCCAAAGGTGTTCTGTTGGACTCAAATCCGGACTGAGTGCAGGCTATTATAGGGTTTGGGTGCTATGTTGTCTTAGGAAGTCCAATGTTGCTCTGACAGTGTGGGCAAGAGCGTTGTCTTGCTTGAAGGTGTGATTTCTGTAACGTCCAAAATGTGGTACAACGAGGGTTCTTATGACTTGGTCAATATAGGGAGCAGCTGTCACGTCATTTCCTCGTCCTGGACCGAGATTCACCTCAGTGCCAACTGTCTGGTTCAGACCGATTGCACCCTACACCGTGATGCATGGACCACTCTTTCAACACCCTACACCATGATGCATGGACCACTCTTTCAACACCCTACACCATGATGCATGGACCACTCTTTCAACACCCTACACCATGATGCATGGACCACTCTTTCAACACCCTACACCGTGGTGCATGGACCACTCTTTCAACACCCTACACCATGATGCATGGACCACTCTTTCAACACCCTACACCATGATGCATGGACCACTCTTTCAACACCCTACACCGTGATGCATGGACCACTCTTTCAACACCCTACACCGTGATGCATGGACCACTCTTTCAACACCCTACACCATGATGCATGGATCACTCTTTCAACAACACACGCATTGGAAAACAGTTCCCCACACTTTCAGAGAAAGCACAGTTCTCCACTGTCGATAACGCCAAGTTCGATGCTCAGTTAGGAGGTGATGAGCGGTGAGGACAGGACTACGAAATTGTTTGTGACAGCAGAGGTTTCTTCCACGCTAACGTCTACGCACTGTATCGGCACTGATGGGTCTGTTGTGAGTTCCAATGGTCTGGCGTGTTGTTTCTGTCGCTTTGGTGAAGAGATCCTGCAGATGGTTGCCCACAATCTGTCGATCTTGATGTTACTGCGTGGACGGTCTTGGATGCTGTTATAATTAGTGACCTGATATCACTCCTGCAGACGGTAAATTGTCCTAACATTTACATTGAAATGATTGACTACTTTCCGTGCAGTCTGGCCAAATTGCAATCGTCCCAAGACTTCGTTCCTCTGATCTCTCGTAAGTCGTGCAATGGCGATTGTGTCAAACAAAAGCTATATATAATTTCACTCGATATTGGGACTCGCTTTCAGTGGTATGGTTGTCACGATATGCGCGTGCGTTTTCATTTTTACGAATGTCATACGGAACCTTTTATCACGTCTGCCTTTCAGGTACGTTTGGTCGACATGCTTTTTCATCAGAAAACACTCTCAATTTGAATAACTCTCAATTTGGATTGAAAAACATGTTCACGAAATGGTACGATCATAATAAAAGACCACTGCACTTTGTAAGAACATAATCTTGCAATTGGTTTGAAAGGCAACGTTTCTTTTGTGATCAGTATATATAAATATATAAGCCTACTAAGACAACTTTGAGCACTAAGCAATATATCAGCACATATAATCTTTTAACATATTTTGGTATACAGTAACTATGAGATCAAAACACTGACGTTCCCTTCACTTCACAGGACAGTAGGTCAAACTAGCAGTTACATAATAAACATTGTCATTACGCATCGAAACACCTGTAGAACATAATCTGTTTTCAAGCATGTGCTAACTTGGAGTATATGTTGTCAGTAACAGCAGGAAATCCCCGCTTTCCTTCATCGGCAACGTCGTAAACGTCATCAGCCACACCAGCATCTCCACCTCCACCCCGGCATTTCCGACCAGATGATTCATAAGCCTTGACCGCCGACGTCGGTGGCAAGTCAGTATACCATTCCAGCTCAACAGAGGCTTTGTCCATCGTGGCAACGTAGTTGAACACGTCCTTTGTCTGGGTGACACTTCAAAAAAGTACAAGTGAGTGAGTTTAGTTTGAGTTTAGTTTTTTAAATTATCGAGTCTGGACCAGACAAGCAAGTGATCAACAGCATGAGCATCGATCTCCTCCTCTCTCTTCATTTTAAAAAGCCTGACAACCAGACGCTTATTATTTCCGCTGAATGCATTGTAGTAGAAATCTGAAAAAGGTCACTTGTTCATCGTTCTACAACAAGATCGACATATCACGCCTCGGGAAAATTGACAGATGGTATGCTTCATTATGACACCTCGTCCATTCAACTTCCAAAGAAATGTCATTAGGCATCTATGGTGACGTTTCCAGGAAGATAATAGACTATAACGATCCAACGACAACATCAGTGAAATCAAACCAGGTAATTCCGACACAGGCCGGTGTTATACCTTGTAACGAAGGTGTATCCCTCAGAGCAGTTTGTCGACGTGTATGTGACCGAGGCATCTGAACTAGCCACCCAGCCCTATGGAAATTTTCTGAAGCCAGAACATCGACCTCGATATCGTCAGTAGAGCAGGCAATGCTTACAGTTGGTACCACGAGAGTGGACAATAATATTCTTTATCGATAAGTTACGTTTCTTTCACTTCGATCTTACGGTAGGACAAGTGACACAGGCGTACACGTGAACATTACATCAGGCCATGTTCTGAGAGGGGGATTGTTTGAGGATGGGGCATGGTGATCTGGGGTGGGGTGAATGCTGTGAGGTATGCTACAAATGGCCGCTTCACCGTTGTTGTAACAGTAGGGCTGCAGTGAGACGTTTTATCCCGATAACGTTAGACCACATGTTGCTTGAGTTGTTCAGCAGTATCATAACCAGAACAATGTTAATGCATCACTCTGGCCCAACCGATCCCATTGTCACCCACGAAACAGGTATGGGATTAAATGGAGCGACGTTTACGTCATTCGAATTCTCCGATGGCACTGGAGGAACTCCGTCATATCCTTCCTCGGATATGGAATGATCTCCAGGACTTTCACTGACGTTCAGTGGCCTCAATGAGGTGAAGGTGCCACGTTTGCATCAATGCACACGTCGGATACACTCGCTACTGACCGTGTGATATTGCTTGTGAACTCCTTCATGTACTGTCGCCCGTTTGTACATGCCAGTTATAGACAGTTGATCAACGTCACCATACTTTGAAACATTTGTCTTACCAAGTAATAACATTTCATTATGGCACGGAAGTTTATAATCGATTCTGTTTGTTGTTTCAATAACTTGTGCCTTTGAGCATGAGTGCAAATTGGTTTATGCCGCACGAACAATTAGTTATTTGCGGCGATTCGTTTACAACTATAAGCAAATAACTGAAACACATACTGTAGAAATATCATTTCACCCGACATTGGATCAGTGTACTTTCGTATGTCGTGATCAAGTCCCTCGGAAGTATACAACATAGTCTTTATGATAGGCAATAACCAATTTGTACCTACCAGTATCACAGTCAGTCCCGTAGTAGGAGTCTACACATCCAGACACACAGGATGACCCCAGCTGACAATATCCTCCATCACAACCACCTGGACATGCCGTACAGTTACCTCCTGGACTGTCACATGGTATGTTGCAGTCAATGCCAGAATATCCTGGCATACAACCCTCAGTGCAGTTATCACTACCATGTTCTGAGATCACGCATTTGTTATTCCTACAGGTCTTGCTGCAGGCAGATCTGCAGTGCCGATCGTAATACCCAGTATCACACTCAGTGAGGCAATCCCCCGTCTCTCTGTCACAGTCTGAACAGTGATGGGTGTAATGGCATGGAACGGCTGAAAGTAATTGTGAGGATATCATTTGATTGTTTCGTGAAATGGAAACACGTTTCGTTCTTTAACAAAACACAAGATACTCAACTATGGTAAATATAGAACGAGTTCTATGGATATACAAATCGTTTATTATCAATATGAGCGATGTCTCGGTGTAGCTAGTAACGCCGTTACAAAGAAGTGGTATATCCACAGAACTCTCCCCGTTTTTCATCAGTCCAACTTCTAAATACATACCACTCAAAGAAGTTATGGCAAATGAGTTACAATACCTATAATATCTGAACACTCCAGCTACAGGGTGGAGGCTATTCCTGAGAACAGTATAGAATCTGTATGGTTTTGAAAGGTATACAGAATTGTTATATCTATATAGAGACTTTTATACTTATGGCAATAATTTTGAAGGTTATCAAGATGCTTCCATCGACAAATAAAATCACGTACAAAAAAGGTTAGTGTTGGGGGATTAATTTTGTTTAAAATGTCTTATTTTCAAAAATGTGTTAGTAACATGTACACTGGCCAGTTTCTGACATTCAAAACGCTTTTCGGAATATTTAGGTTTGTTTCTGGAAAATGACCACAAACCAGGAAGTGTGTAGTTTCTTGTGTAGGTCAGTATATTGCACTGTCAACAAGTCAGTGAAGATAATGTAACGCTTAAAATCACAGAAAATGACCGGGCTGGGAATACACTTGAACTTTATACATGTACAACTAGATACAGACAACATTATTCTTAAACAAATTACAAGTACGACCACAGACAGGAATGATTTTCACAGTTCAAGATCACAGTAATATTGTTTTCATCGGGCAAGTGAAACGGCACGTTGAAGATGATGGGAAAATATATTTGGCATTCACGCGACAGTTACTGACTGTGTGTAGGGAATAAATTGGAAGTTCTGGACTTGGAACACATGGCTGTCCCTCACCAAGCACATTGATAGACAGTACCAGCTTGCCAGCAAATATTGATCTATAAGTGATAATAATGAATTTAATTCTAATCCCACTTCTCCACATCTTTTCTGATAAGGCGGAAGGTTGGATCTCTGACCCTACGTCACCAATACCTTTAAATGCACTGCCTAGTCAGTCTACATCTCTTTATAAGTGAAATAAGTTTGAAATTCATCCTTCCCACATTTGTTAATGATACTTTCATTGATACTCCAATGTCTTCCTCTCAACTATCTTATCTATGGATGTTAACAAATAAACTGGTAATACTGCAATGTCTTCTTCTCAACTATCTTATCTATGGATGTTAACAAATAAACTAGTAATACTGCAAGGGTTCACCTTCTGTAGCAATTATCATGCATGCTGTCCACATTATCAACCAGGCAGTCATTCTGTTCACTGAAACAAAACCTGTCACAATTAAGTGATATTGAAAAACATTTTGTTAACAAACAAAACATATCTGATTAAGATCATAACAAACACATAAAGAAAAGTAGGCAGCTTAGAGGTGTACAAGTGTACTCTCCTCAGGAAACTGATAACAAACTAATGAGGGACACTGAATATTCACTTTTTCAAAATATGTTCTGTGTAAATATGAAATCTACAAAATAAAGTTCATATATATTATGCAAGCTTCAAGATTCACAAAACCTGGACAGCCTGGTATGAAGGTTTGAACGCCAATGAACCTGCACAAAGTGAAAGTCAAAAGATAATCCACTTTTACAACAGCAGGTACTTACGATATAATCGGTCTTCGTTATGAAATCCTGGTGATACTGTATGGAGATGCGAGGGTTTGGAGCAAGAATCGTCACCTATGTCCGATAGGTCTACAACTAAGACCTGTTACAATCAGAACACACTATACATCTATCACCCTTCACAATTACATTAAATCCTGTTGCTCTCAGATCAGGAAGATGAAAACTTCAACTGTCACGTGAAAAGAAGGACATATTTCATGTAGCATTTTTTACGAAACCACATGCTACATATTCTTAGCGTCATATTAAATTGTTTTTCGAAGAAAAGATCTGCAAAGCATACTTTATCAGTTAAAAATACTTTAAACTAGGTTTCTTTCTACCATCTTAATGCAAATATTTCTGCGAATATATAGCCAGTGAGATTGAGACAATCGTCACACTCAACTGAAGGGCGGTGGTGTTGACAGTTTACCTTTTAAAGTGGGATGTAACTTACACAAATGCATTGGGTTGTCGTTTTCGTTTGAGGGTGTACTGGTTTGTCAGGGTATCAAGGTGTACTGGTTTGGCTGGGTGTCAAGGTGTACTGGTTTGTCTGTATCTTGGTCTGGTACTCGGTTCTCGATGTATTTTGGTGTAGTCGGTTGATTACCTATAATGGTGAAGAGACTGGGAGATGTATCGAATTGAACAGGGTTGTTGATGTATCTTGGGGCACATGGTTGTCACTGTATCTTGGGGCACAGGGACGTAGGAGGAAGTCGGGAAAAGGGTTGTCTAGGGGCACAGGATTGTCACTGTATCTAGGAGCACAAGGTTGCCTTTGTATCTAGGGGCACAGGGTTGTCGCTGTATCTATGGGCACATGGTTGTCACTGTATCTAGGGGCACATGGTTGTCACTGTATCTACGAGCACAGGGTTGTCACTGTATCTAGGAGCACATGGTTGTCACTGTATCTAGAGACACAGGGTTGTCACTGTATCTAGGGACACAGGGTTGTCACTGTATCTAGGGGCACAGGATTGTCACTGTATCTAGGGACACAGGGTTGTCACTGTATCTAGGAGCACATGGTTGTCACTGTATCTAGGGGCACAGGGTTGTCACTGTATCTAGGGACACAGGGTTGTCACTGTATCTAGGGACACAGGGTTCTCACTGTATCTAGGGACACAGGGTTGTCACTGTATCTAGGGACACAGGGTTGTCACTGTATCTAGGGGCACAGCTGACATCCCTTTAAGCCGGACAGTGTACAGTACAGAAGGGACTGGTATCCAACACTGGCCAATGTACTCCACATCCCTTTAAGCCGGACAGTGTACAGTACAGAGGGGTCTGGTATCCAACACTGACCAGTGTACTCTACATCGCTTTAAGACTGCAAGTGTACAGTACAGAAGGGGCTGGTACCCAACACTGACCAATGTACTCTACATCCCCTTAAGCCTGACAGTGTACAGTACAGAGGGGGCTGGTACCCAACACTGACCAATGTACTCTACACCGCTTTAAGCCGGACAGTGTACAGTACAGAGGGCGCTGGTATCCAACACTGACCAATGTACTCTACATCCCCTTAAGTCGGCCAGTGTACAGTACAGAGGGGGCTGGTACCCAACACTGACCAGTGTACTCTACATCACTTTAAGCCGGACAGTGTACAGTACAGAGGGGGTTGGTATCCAACACTGACCAATGTACTCTACATCCCCTTAAGCCGGACAGTGTACAGTACAGAGGGGGCTGGTATCCAACACTGACCAATGTACTCTACATCCCCTTAAGCCGGACAGTGTACAGTACAGAGGGGGCTGGTATCCAACACTGACCAATGTACTCTACATCCCCTTAAGCCGGACAGTTTGCAGTACAGAGGGGGCTGGTATCCAACACTGACCAATGTACTCTACTTCGCTTTAAGCCCGACAGAGAACAGTACAGAGGGGGCTGGTATCCAACACTGACCAATGTACTCTACATTCCCTTTAGCCCGACAGTGTACAGTACAGAGGGGCCTGGTATCCAACACTGACCAGTGTACTCTACATCCCCTGAAGCCGGACAGTGTACAGTACAGAGGGGGCTGGTATCCAACACTGACCAGTGTACTCTACATCCTCTTAAGCCGGACAGTGTACAGTACAGAGGGGGCTGGTACCCAACACTGACCAATATACTCTACATCCCCTTAAGCCGGACAGTGTACAGTACAGAGGGGGCTGGTATCCAACACTGACCAATGTACTCTACATCCCCTTAAGCCGGACAGTGTACAGTACAGAGGGGGCTGGTATCCAACACTGACCAATGTACTCTACATCCCCTTAAGCCGGACAGTGTACAGTACAGAGGGGGCTGGTATCCAACACTGACCAATGTACTCTACATCCCCTTAAGCCGGACAGTGTACAGTACAAAGGGGGTTGGTATCCAACACTGACCAATGTACTCTACTTCCCCTTAAGCCGGACAGTGTACATTACAGAGGGGGCTGGTATCCAACACTGACCAATGTACTCTACATCCCCTTAAGCCGGACAGTGTACAGTACAGAGGGGGCTGGTATCCAACACTGACAAATGTACTCTACATCCCCTTAAGGCGGACAGTGTACAGTACAGAGGGGGCTGGTATTCAACACTGACCAATGTACTCTACATCCCCTTAAGCCGGACAGTGTACAGGTACAGAGGGGCTGGTATCCAACACTGACCAATGTACTCTACATCCCCTTAAGACGGACAGTGTACAGTACAGAGGGGGCTGGTATCCAACACTGACCAATGTACTCTACATCCCCTTAAGACGGACAGTGTACAGTACAGAGGGGGCTGGTATCCAACACTGACCAATGTACTCTACATCCCCTTAAGCCGGACAGTGTACAGTACAGAGGGAGCTGGTATCCAACACTGACCAATGTACTCTACATCCCCTTAAGCCGGACAGTGTACAGTACAGAGGGGGCTGGTATCCAACACTGACCAATGTACTCTACATCCCCTTAAGCCGGACAGTGTACAGTACAGAGGGGGCTGGTACCCAACACTGACCAATGTACTCTACACCCCCTTAAGCTGGACAGTGTACAGTACAGAGGGGGCTGGTATCCAACACTGACCAATGTACTCTACATCCCCTTAAGCTGGACAGTGTACAGTACAGAGGGGGCTGGTATTCAACACTGACCAATGTACTCTACATCGCTGTAAGTCCGACAGTGTACAGTACAGAGGGGGCTGGTATCCAACACTGACCAATGTGCTCTACATCGCTTTAAGCCCGACAGAGTACAGTACAGAGGGGGCTGGTATCCAACACTGACCAATGTACTCTACATCCCCTTAAGCCGGACAGTGTACTGTACAGAGGGGGCTGGTATCCAACACTGACCAATGTACTCTACATCCCCTTAAGCCGGACAGTGTACAGTACAGAGGGGGCTGGTATCCAACACTGACCAATGTACTCTACATCCCCTTAAGCCGGACAGTGTACAGTACAGAGGGGGCTGGTACCCAACACTGACCAATGTACTCTACACCGCCTTAAGCTGGACAGTGTACAGTACAGAGGGGGCTGGTATCCAACACTGACCAATGTACTCTACATCCCCTTAGACGGACAGTGTACAGTACAGCGGGGGCTGGTATCCAACACTGACCAATGTACTCTATATCGCTGTAAGTCCGACAGTGTACAGTACAGAGGGGGCTGGTATCCAACACTGACCAATGTGCTCTACATCGCTTTAAGCCCGACAGAGTACAGTACAGAGGGGGCTGGTATCCAACACTGACCAGTGTACTCTACATCCCCTTTAGCCCGACAGTGTACAGTACAGAGGGGGCTGGTATCCAACACTGACCAATGTACTCTACATCCCCTTAAGCCGGACAGTGTACAGTACAGAGGGGGCTGGTACCCAACACTGACCAATGAACTCTACATCCCCTTAAGCCGGACAGTGTACAGTACAGAGGGGGCTGGTATCCAACACTGACCAATGTACTCTACATCCCCTTAAGCCGGACAGTGTACAGTACAGAGGGGGCTGGTATCCAACACTGACCAATGTACTCTACATCCCCTTAAGCCGGACAGTGTACAGTACAGAGGGGGCTGGTATCCAACACTAACCAATGTACTCTACATCCCCTTAAGCCGGACAGTGTACAGTACAGAGGGGGCTGGTATCCAACACTGACCAATGTACTCTACATCCCCTTAAGCCGGACAGTGTACAGTACAGAGGGGGCTGGTACCCAACACTGACCAATATACTCTACCCCCCCCTAAGCCGGACAGTGTACAGTACAGAGGGGGCTGGTATCCAACACTAACCAATGTACTCTACATCCCCTTAAGCCGGACAGTGTACAGTACAGAGGGGGCTGGTACCCAACACTGACCAATATACTCTACATCCCCTTAAGCCGGACAGTGTACAGTACAGAGGGTGCTGGTATCCAACACTGACTAATGTACTCTACATCCCCTTAAGCCGGACATTGTACAGTACAGAGGGGGCTGGTATCCAACACTGACCAATGTACTCTACATCCTACAGTACAGAGGGGGCTGGTGTCCAACACTGACCAGTGTACTGCACATCCCTTTAAGACTGAGAGTATCAAAGGCCTCCAGGCCAGAGTACATGTATATAGATAGTGTACATATAGTCATGTCACAACGTATATCATTCCCATTTGTAATGGTTACGTTTCTCCATTACAAGAAGTACATGAAGCGTTCGTAAAATTGTCAGTTGTGTCCCTTAGCTGTTTGATTTGTGTGCACTTCAGAATATACAGTGAGTGAGTGAGTGAGTTTAGTTTTACGCCACACTCAGCAATATTCCAGCTATATGGCGGCGGTCTGTAAATAATCGAGTCTGGACCAGACAATCCAGTGATCAACAGCATGAGCATCGATCTGCGCAATTGGGAACCGATGACATATGTCAACCAAGTCAGCGAAACTGACCACCCGATCCCGTTAGTCGCCTCTTACAACAAGATAGTCGCTTTTTATGGCAAGCACATGGGTTGCTGAAGACCTATTCTACCCGGATCTTCACGGGTCCAGAATATACAGTGCTTAAGATTCTGACTCAGTATTATGTGTCATAACTTGTACAAATACTTGGTAAAAACCTTTTTTCTCAATCTGTTATA